TGCTCCGTGTCTGAACACCCCATGCCTATGAGGCACCCATTACTTTGGCTTCCTTCTTGCAGATGAGGAAGCAGAGTCAGTGGCTAATCCAAGGCCACACAAGCACAGGACTTAGAAGATTGGCAGCAAAGGCCCCTCTGGCCTCTGGCTCTGTCATTTGTGGTGTGAGCCTGCCAGATGATGGGGTGGAGATGTGAACAGCCGGGGATGTGGGAACAAGTTACTGAACCGCAGAAGACAGAGAGGAAGAGAAGAAGGGAGAAGACAGATGATGGGCACAGAGGGAAGATACTGCCCAGAGGGAGGTGGGTAGCAGAGTCTGACATCAGAAGACCAATGAATAGTCCCAGTGTGGCTGAGAAGCCCAGGGGTGGCTGTGGCCATGGACACCCAGGGGCATAGATACAAGTACAGGGAACAAGACAATTGTGCAAGCAGGTTAAGAAAAAGCCATCGGTGAGGTCTGTATACGGACATCAGGATGTCAGGACATCAGACCACTCTAAGCCCCAGCTTCATTCAAACCCAAGGGCAGCCTGACAGGGTAGGTGGAGTGTGTTAACCAAGGAAGAAGAAAGCGCCAAGGCCACCAGGTAGAAACCAATTCATCTCGCCAGGCAGCGGCCAGTGTACTTAATTGGCTTCTTAATTCTTCTGATGAGACAAAGATATATACAAAATGGCATTTCGCCCCACAACGTGCCCTCTCTCTATCAAATGGAAACCTTAACCTGTAAATGCTTATGACGTCATCCTTCCCTCCACTACTGCCCAGGAAAGCAGTCAGCTGCAGCCACAGAGTGTGTTCCATTGCTTTTTAATTGCTGCACTTGTGTAAATAAGCACCACCACATCATTAGGGGGCTGGTCCTCCATTCAGGTATGTGGGCGGGCATCTTTGCCTTGCCAACCTGGGAAGCCAGGCATGCGCAAGCACGCGGTGAGCTGCTTGCCCTGGATGCAGCCTTTCAGCCAAGGCTGCGCTCACAGGAGAAGCCCTGGGGCTTCTGTTTCTCCCCTCTGTCTTTTGTACAGGCAAATTCCTCTCTCTCTCTCTCTCTCTCTCTCTCTCTCTCTCTCTCTCTCTCTCTCTTTCTCTCTCTCTCTCTCTCCCTCTCTCTCTTTCTCTGCTACTGGACACATGTAAAACTTAGAGATGAGAACCATGCCAGGCTGTACACAGGTAAATGTTGTGACAAGCTCCGGGGGGAGAAGGCAGTGAGCGTATTTCCCTTTCCTCTTTTAAGAAAGGGGTATAAACCATCCAGAACCGCCCGACTCCCAAGAACATTACCAACTTCATTGTCCTGAAATGAAGGAATCAGGACACGCAGTCGGGCCGTCTCTTTCACACACCCCACAGCCTGGCAAGTGTTAAGGAACTCAGCAAACCTTTGCTGAATTAAACCGGGAGACACTGAAATCGAGTCACAGATACTCTGCAAGTTGAGATGAACAATAATTTTGAACCATTTCCTGGTGTGGGGATACAGGGAAAAATAGGGAGATGAAGCAATTATCTATTCTGTCTAGAGTCATTTGAAGACAGACAAGAGGGTTTGAAAGAAATCCCATCAGGTGCTATCACAGCATCATTTTCCATCAAGGCATGGCAAAAACTCATAGAAGGGAACAGGCTTTGGAATAACCAAAAGGAGTTTAAAATGCACAGATTGATATCAAACTTGTGAGGTATTTTTGTTTGTTTGCTTTTGTCTTGTTTTTTCCATCGAGACAAACTGCTCTCTACAGTGTCCAGTCTGTCAAATTCTTTTCACTAATCAAAGGGTAGACAAACAAAGGAAGATTCATCTGTGAGTGTGGGGGATACAGAAAATGAACCCAAGTTAAATGATTTATGGCTTCGACAACACAGCACTATTGCTCCCAAATGGCCTCCCACTTGTACAGAAATACTCCAGACAAGCCCCTGGTGCATAGTGGGTCTCAGTGACCCAGGGAAAATGGCTTCTGGGGATGTCATTCCGAGATGCACCCCCCCCCCCAAATACCCTCAAGCAGTATTTCACTCTTCTCCAAACAGTCCAGCCCAAGTTCCCCTGCCGAGGTTTGTTTACATAAAAACAATTTTTGGCTACAGATCATCAGAGGAGGAGACATTTGTCACCCCTCAAGAGTCCAGGCAGATTAATTAAAATATACCTAATAAAATATGGAAAATAATTTTTAGGAAAAAAATTTAATTTGAAACAGTGAAACATCAGTAAGACCCGGCAGTCTTTTTGTATAAAATAAGTCCAAAAGCTGGTGCTGGGGCAGGTTTTGCTTTTAAACTGTGCAGAAACACACAAGATACTCCAGAGCAGCCAGAGGCCTCGCTCTGATTTTGACCCAGACCCAGGAGGTTGTCTTTTTGAAAGAGTGAATTGATTAAAAAAAAAAAAATTTATATAGGTCAGAAACGCAACTTCAGAACCATGATATTCTTACAGTCTAAGGAACCATTTGGGTCAGAACTGTACTTGTTTACATTTCAGAGAAGCATGTTTGGACTAGAGCAATTGGGATCTCCAGAAATGCTAGCAGTAGATAGCATTCTGAACATCGTCCTCGGGGACCAGGGAAAGATCAGAAGGATCTGCAGATGAGTCTATGCCTGGCAAAGATGAGCCTTAGGTTTTGGACTCCGAAGTAGTTGTCTCTCTTCAGACAATACCCTAATAAAACAATTCCAAAGTACTCACCACCCTGCCACACCCCTTCGATGAAACTGCACTTCACAAAATATTTAGATAAAGCCTGAACAAACCAAATAAACACCAGGCAGGCAGTGTAGCCTGGAATGCCGAACCTGCCCTCCCTGGAGTCTGAAGGGCCGTATCTCTGGAAATTTTAAGCAAACAAAATCTACTATAATTCTACTGCAGCCTTCGAAGTTGAGCAAGGCTAGTTCAGACTCTGACGTTTTGATTTCCACAACAGATGGAAGGAGAGAGAGAGAGAGAGAGAGAGAGAGAGAGAGAGAGAGAGAGAGAGAGAGAGAAACTTCCTTAGCTCACAAACATATGTGTCCGGTTGAGATCTGATTTCTTCAACCTTAGCAGCACCCAGAAAAACAAAACAACAAAAAGCTTATTTTCTATTATTACTCACCGTTACTCCAGGATTTCAGTAAATATTTGATACTGATTTCAAAGAAGCCGGAATCCTGCTGGCTGGCCATGTCTGCCGCATACAAAGAGGACTGGAAGCTGCTGTTGGAGGAGCAGGTACCGGGCGTGGAGATGTGCCTGTCACAGGTTAGTGATGTAAGCGAGGGTCAGGAGCAAAGAGGCAAGCTCCTCATTTAAAGGACACCGGGAGAGGGATGCTCAGCCTCTCCCCCTCTTCCTCCTCCTCCTCCTCCGGGGGCCAGGGCTGGCTTCTTATTTGCTGGGTGCCGATCTCCCTTGCAAGCCTTCGGAGGCAGAGGCCTCGGCGGTTTTCATTTCAGAGCTGACATAAGCGGCAATGCCTGCGGCCCCGCCTGCCTCCGGCCGCCCACATGCTCCGCCACAGCCAGGTACGGCAGCAAGACGTCCCCACCTGCACCGGGAGCTGCCGAGCCTGCCGGGGCGGGCAGGCCGTCTGGGACTCCTGGCTGCCCACCCTGCAGCCCCCTGCCGAGGGATGGGCTGAAGCCCCGCCCCCAGCCCCTGCCTTTCTCAACCTGAGCACCCACCCAGCCTCCACCTCGCAGCCCCAGCCCCAGGGACGGGGGACGAGAAATTGGCCAGCTGCCTGGGGGCTGGCTTCTCAGGGCAGAAAGGTTGGCAGGCGGCGGCCCGGGTGTGCTCCGGCTGCGATTCCCCCCCAGTGTCTGTCCCCGAAGACACTCAACTGCGGCACTCTGCGGTAAGCCAGCTGCACCCTTGCATTTGGATGCAGCAGCGTTTGGGGAGGGGTGTGTGTGTGTGTGTGTCGGGGGGGGGGGGGGGGGGTGATCCGTCAGCCTCGCTGCAACGGAGAAGCCAGACGTCTGCTTGGCCTTTCCTCCCCGCTCTGTGATGAGCAGACGGGAATCTGCATTTTGGGCAATGCAGGCTTTTTTGAGGGGGGTACCGGAGCTCCAACGCGTGCCCCGGAAGGGAAGGCACACCAGCTTAATCGGCTTGTCTGTGGAACGCCCGGATTCCACCATGGACCGGGTTCTTCATGCCGTCATTTCTTAGACTCACACAGCCCAATACACCCAACTTCATAAGCAGGGGGAAGCTAGGACGCAAAGGCATCAGGATCCTGCCTTCTCCTTCATGAATCCTTGCTATCGTGTCCCGATTCCAGTCAGCTTTGTTTCACGTTATTATTAAGCTCGGTGGGAGGATTAAATAAGAGTATTGTATTTTAATAATGACTGGTTAGGCTCCATCAGGGTGACGTTCGGCCGTCATCTTGTAAGGCCCTCCTCTCCCCAGTATATTTATGATTGAGAGTTTCCAATAGAATGACTATGTAATAATTATTTAAGCCCCTCCACACACGCGCACACACGCACACACACACACACACACATACACACACAAATGTGCAAACTCCACCCCACAACCCAACACGACCAGACTTCCTGGTTTATTAACTCATTTGAGAAATGAAAGGAAAGATGGCAATATAATTTTTAGATTTTAGGCAAAGAACTTCCAAAAATCAAACTAAATGGCACTTCTAGAAATGCCCTGGTTTATCAGAACATTTGCAAACCATCCACATTATGGGGAGGCGGGCACTTAATCACTCTCAAACCCAACTCAGCTGGCAGGGTTTTAGCCTCCTGAAGTCAGTCATCAGGCCCGAGGTCCTGCTAATTCATATGCATACTTTAGGGATGAGCTCATTTTCTTTTATCAGCTTCAGAGAATGTATGGGCTCTATGTAAAACAGGATCGGAAGGTTTTCCTTCAAAAATATCCATTAATGACTGGGTTGGCACTTTCCCCATGTTACAGGGCAGGGGATGAACAGGCCACAGGGGTGCTGAGGAAATGCTACACTGAGGAAATGCTACACGGAATCCCACCAGGTCCCCGTTCCCACCTGGAACCAGCTCTGTACCTCAGCACTGTAGCCTGAGGAAAATGATTAACTTTGCCAACCCTGAGTTCCTCGTCGACATGGCGGGCATAAACAGTGCACCCACTTCCTGTGGATGCCGGAAAGAGTAAATGACCTTATGAGAAAAGGTCAACCCGTCTCCTGCACATGGCACACTGTCACATTTTAGTACTTACTGAACTAACTTATCATTTTACTCATTGCTTTTATTATACTGAACTCGCTTTTTCTGAGGTAAAACCATCTCTGTGAATTAGAGACGATGTTGATTTTGAACACCAATTGTAGTTATGGAGGAACAGCAGGCTGGGGTCGTTGTAACAAGCAAACACGCTCTTGTATATTGCCGCTGTAAATGTTTGTTTCGAGACAGGGTCTCTCTCCGTCTCCCTGGCTGTCCTGGAACTCACGATGTAGACCAGGCTGGCCTTGAACACACAGAAGATCCGCCTGCCTCTGCCTCTGGAGTGCTGGGATTAAAGGTGTGCACCACCACATCCAGCCTTAAATATACACATTTTTAAAATTTAATTTGGGACTTGAGAGGTGGCCGGGCTGTTCCTCCAGAGGACCCAGGTACAGTCTCCAGTCCCCAGTTCACAACCATCTGTTACTTGGGTTCCAGGGTGCAATGCCCTCTTCTGGTCTCTATAGGTACTGCATGCATGGTTTACAGATAAGCATGTGGGCAAAACACACCTCAGTACACATAGAGACAAATAAATTGTTTAGAAAAATCCCAATTGATTTTTAAAAAAGTTTTCAGTGGTACTATGAACATACTACCTAGTCAGGAATTCCACTCATATGTATTTCAAAGGACACTAATGATAAAAACTTAGAACTATTTAGAAGAAAAAATAATAGCATTTAATATTCCCCGTGAAGAGTGAATGGGCTGTTTTTTTTATCAGGCCCCAATTATTTACTTTAGTACCTTTAAAGAGGATCTATATCGTGCTGGAGAGATGGCTCAGCGGTTAAGAGCACTGATTGCTCTTCGTGAGGACCCGGGGTTCAGTTCCCAGCACCCACATGGCAGCTCACAACTGTCTGTAACTCCAGTTCCAGGAGACCCGACACCCTCACACAGACATACACGCAGGCAGAACACCAGTGCACATAAAATACAATAAATAACTTTTTAAAAAGAGGATATCGATCCTAAGTGAGGAGAAGAGGCCTTTGATCTGCTCACAGGCTGGTGAATCAACGGGAGTGAAACCTGCTACAAGCCGGGACAGAACGGCCACCCTCTGTCACCTTGCTCTCGGGGAAACGGCTTATTAAAAAACCAAACAAAAGACCGTAGGCGCCTAGACAAAGGTGCTCTGAAGTAAAACAATAAAATCAGAATGTGTCCCTGGCTGGCTTCCTGACTTCCATTGTCATTTCAGATGACCTCTAGCTATCTCAGCTCTCATATCCTGAAAAGTGAAGGCTGGGTCGGGTGCTTAGAAGTCTCGGAGACTAGACGGTGAACAGACGCTGGGGGCTGAGAGAGATGAAAGCGAGGTGGAGGGCGGCCAGCAATGGCATCAAAGATTGGAGTGGGTGGGAGAGTGTGGAGGGGTGGGGTGGGAGAGTAGAGGGGTGGGGGGGGGCAGAAAGTAGCCTGAGACACAGGCTAGCCATTGATGAGACCATCTACATTCACATGACACAAATTCTGTGCTAAATTACACGTTTAAAAATCATATTTAATCCTCACTTCAACCCTGCAAGATGGGGACTATGAGTAGTCCATTTTCTAGATGAGAAAGTTGAGGCTTAAAGAAGCCTCAGGTGAGAGTCACAGAGCTGATACAATGGATGTCTGGCTTGTACTGCCATTTGTTATTAAGTTATTACCATCATCTCATCACTTTCAGTTGTAAAGTGAGATAAGAATCACCTTCCCTAGAGAAAGTTCAGGAAGAGATGTCCAGAACATCCCTGATAGCTCACCGCCTAGTCATTGCCCACGTCCTCGGCTTTTTCCTGGATGAAGAATTGCTCCCCCGGGCTTTGCGGTCCCCTGAAGAGCCGAGAGAAAGATGCCACCATTTTTCACAGTAATCTGATTTGCTGTACAGGTTGTGTCTCTACGGGGACTCATGACCCCGAGTGGAGCTCAGACGACTGCAGAGAAAATCCAGCCGCTGGACTCTGCTCTCCAGGTCAAGGGTAGAAAGGGCTTTGCCCACCCTGCTGTAGGATGGCATGGGCCGGGGACTCAGTCCAGGGGCAGAGTGTCTATCTTACGATGAAGACACAGGTATGGGCAGGTGGGGTGCTGGGCGGCACAGAAGGAAGCAGTACTCAGCTTTTTGAGAGAGAAGGGAGTGGTCAATATGTCCCCAGGGTCCCCAATGAGTGGTGGTGCAGGACAAGGGAAGCAGAGGGTACTTGGACTAAGTCTCAGAACGGATGCCACTTCCCGCTCTCCAGCATACACCCCCGTTACAGCCGTCTGCTTCTCCCCCCCACAACAGCTGTCCTCCCAGTACTCGGTCCTCAGGCAGGAGACATCTTAGGGGCAAGTGGACACACTCTTCGGACCTACTGAAGGTGACATGCTGCCTCTAGAGGCAGGTGTGTTAACAGAAGCACAAGGAGGGGCCAGCAAGTCAGCTCCGCTGGTAAAGGTGACTGTCACCAAGCCTGGCGACCTGAGTTTGCTCCCTGGGACCCATGTGGTGGAAGGAGAGAACCACGTCTCACAAGTTGTTTTCTGATTTACACACACGCACACACACGTGTACGTACACACACACACACACTAAAATAAATGTAACGAAAGTATAGTGAGTTTGTAGTTTAATTCCTATTTTATTTATGCTTTCCTAGCATTTTGGACAATTTCTTGAGGCTAAAATATGTGGTCTTAAAAAAGTCAACCTGGAGAACAAAGCTTGGCCACCTGGCTGCTTGCCTACCTCAGAAACCATTACCCAGTGGGTTCCAAGCATCGGGCTGAGGTGACTGGGTCGGGGTGGAGTGTGCTGCCTTTCCCTGTGGACAGGCGCAGGTGGGTACCACGAGTGGTCACTGTCACAGAGTTAGGCGGAGGAGAGATTGCTTCGAAAGCAACCCACAAAACAAAAACACAAAAGCCACCCTATCAGTTTTTGGTCAGCAGGGTCAAATCCAAAGAAGTCTGATGCATGCTACGGTCTCATGATTATACATCACGCAGTCACTGCTCTGAGGGGCCGGCAGCAAGGCGCCGTGAGTAAGGATGCTTGCCGCTAAGCCTGGTAACCCGAGATCCAATCCCAGAACCCGCGGACAGGGTGGAAGGAAGGAATCAGCTCCTGTAAGTAAGTTGATGCCTGACCTCCAAACATACTCGTAGATCATTAAGTAAATGTATTCTTTAAAAAAACATCTGTTCTTAGCAGGGTGGTGGTGGTGGTGGCGGCGGCGGCGGCGGCGGCGGCGGCGGCGGCGGCAGCAGCAGCAGCAGCGCACGCCTTTAATTCCAGCACTGGGGAAGCAGAGGCAGGCGATCTCCGGGTTCAAGGCCAGCCTCGTCTACAGAGTGAGTTTCATGACAGCCAGGGCTACATATACAGAGAAACCCTATCTTGAAAACCAAACAAACAAACAAACAACCACAAATCTATTATATGGCCAATTAAGCATCACCTAGATTGAGTTAAAATAGCATGAGCTGATCTCAGTGACGATAAGGTCCGATTTCATTTCCCGCCCCCGCCCCCCCCCATCATTTTGCAGTACTGGGGGTCAAACTCACGGCCTGGGGCGTGTCGGGCATGTGCTCCCCAACTGAGCCATATGCCCAAGCCATCATTTCCGTTTACCTGGGGGAAAGAAAAGCCCCACAAAGAGATAGCCTAAGAATCAAGTGTTGGAATGACTGGTAAACTTTTCTCTGACCCATTTTAAATGCAGCGTTTGCTGATCCATCGAGTTAAGAGACTTTAACTAGGGGGACCTGTGAAAGCATCCGTAGGCGGCTACAGGGTCAGCGTCAGAAGTGGGGACCTGCCCCTGAAAACCCCACCTGTCAGGAACAAAGCCGCGTGGAGCTCGATCTGTGAGCGTCGAAAACACTGGTTTCACTCCTCCCCACTGCGAATAGTGTTTTTTTTTTTTTTCCTCCAGTGAATTGAAATACACTTAACTTTTCTGAATGCAACAGAATTTCATTAAGGCAGAGTTTGTTGTTGAGTAGATTCAGACACAAACAAGGAAAACCATGTTTCTTGAAATGGTTTTCATTTTAAAAATAGCAGCAGAGCCCAGTTTGAAATCCCTCTTTACCCAGCTCCTCTGCAAAGGGGTTTTACAGGGAGATGGAGCACGGGATGAATGGGCTAGATGTGGGGCTAGATGTGGGGTAGATGTGGGGTAGATGTGGGGCTCGATGTGGGGTAGATGTGGGGCTCGTGCCCAGGGAAGTCTCTCTACTCATAAGGCAATAAAGACCCCGAGAAAGGACAGCGGAAGGAGGGAAAGGGTGACCCATCTCATTTCCTGTGGGCACGGGGACCAGTCCTCCATATGCCCACTGCTACCCAAGGTGACAAGGGACAGTCGTTGAGCACTTAACCGCCTCAGGCTACGTCGTATCACAGAGGCAACGCTGAACCCGAGACACAGCGGCTGGGCACCTCTTGGACTGGCCGAGGAACAGCAATAAAATAACCGAGAACTATGTATGGTACCAGCTATCTCGGGCTTCCGTCCTAGGAAAGGAGAATTGGGCCTCTCCGCAGACCCTGCTCCAGACACCCAATTAGGACTTAAAAAAAAAACAAAAGATACCCAGAATCTGTGAATTAGAAATAGGGCGTAGGTAGGGCACCATGTGCCAAAGTCAAGTCTGTGCTTTTACACACCAGTGTGTGTACCTAGCCCTGCCTGCTTCCAGTTCATTCTCTGTTACCTGTTATGGCTTCAGATGCCATCAGCCAGCTTCTTGCTCCAGCCACCTGCTGCCACGCTGTACCCCCATCACGGGAACTAACCCTTGGGAACCGTAAGCCAAAATAAACCGTTTCCTAAGATGCTTCTGGCCATGGTGTTTTCTCACAACGACAGAAAGGAACTGATGTCATACTCACACTTCACATACACTGTGACGCCTCCCTTCTGCAAGTGATTGCATATTTACAGTGCTAGGAACAAAGCCTTTAAAACCAGGGATTAGGACCAGGCGGTGGTGGCGCACGCCTTTAATCCCAGCACTTGGGAGGCAGAGCCAGGCGGATCTCTGTGAGTTCAAGGCCAGCCTGGTCTCCAAAGTGAGTTCCAGGAAAGGCACAAAGCAACACAGAGAAACCTTGTCTCAAAATAAATAAATAAATAATAAATAAATAAATAAAATAAAAAAATAAAACAACAACAACAAAAAACAGGGATTAGGAAGTCTTCCTCTGCCTCTCATTTGGACCTGGTGCTACGATCCTAGGCAAATTATTTCTCTAAGACCATTCCACTGTTTCTGTGCTGACATTTGAGTTTTCCATATCTGGGGGTGGGGGTGGGGGGGACCAGAACAAGAGGAAAACCGCACATTGAGTGATAAATTACAGGACTTAATTTCTGGCAACAAGTCCACATTCTCGATGCGTTTCGGATAAGGCAAATGTTCAAGGTATCCATGAAGGCACACACCGGCTGGCAGGAGAAGCTGGCCCTCGGACTGCGAAATTGGGGGGTTGGTAAGAGAGATAAATCAATATTGAAGCAAGCAAGTGGTCTACTGTGAAATGAACGAGGCGATGTGAGAGCGCTCTGTTCGGCTTAGAGGAAAGGATAGAACTAGAAACCAGGGAATTGCGATAAACCCAGGGTAGGTAGAAATGGCTGAAGCCTGGTTGTCCTCGTGGAGCTGAAGGACAGCGGGGTTGAGGGAACTGAACGTGCAGACAGCATCATGACCCCTGGAACTGACACTTTGAAGAGCCATGTCCACCTCTCTAAGCACTGTGACTTCTTCTTCAGTCTCCACACAGCTTCCTGGTGCTGAACCCCAGACCCCACCTTGTAGGACGGGGGTGCCGAGCTGGAGGAGAGTGGGTTTCAGCCTCTCCACTGTAGGCAGGGTTCAGACGCACTGGAGAGTGTATGTCACTGACAACTCAGCCCTGTAGGACAGAGAGTCTTGGACGGCATGTTTTCAGAAAGGGTGGGACATGGCCAACCTATGTGAGTAACAGTCCCTGCTTTGTGTAGGAGGGTGGGGCCGTCAGAAACCGGACCAGGGAAGGCTGCTCAGCTCAGAGGCTGGTGGGGAGAGAGGTTCCAACTGCCAAGCTCAGCGACACAGTCTGAGGGGACGTGAGAGTAATGGGCTTTGCAGACAGGCAGGCTGGGTGAGGTCACCAGGAGAAGCCTGAGGAAATGCGGGGGTGGGGTGGGGTGGGCGGACACGATTCTAGCCCTCAGTGGCATTAACCAGAAGAAAACCCCACTTCAGGGGCAGATCCCACCCTACAAGCTACAGTTATCTACCTACAGATTTGAGCTCCTCTTTCTCTTCTACGAAATGCGCAAAATGCTCCCCTAGCTGCCCTTTACATGAAGTTGCTTCCCTGTCTCAAAGGAGAGACCTGGCTGGGAAGGCTGGCACTCCCAGGATGCTAGCACGCGACACTCAGTGTTCCACCAGGGCAAGAGAGCCACCGTGGAAGAGAGCAGAGGGTCCGTTCCCTTCGACACCTTCCTGGTCACGGCACCAGCCTGTTGGACCTTCAGTGTTCAGTCTCGGGACAGACTGGGGGTGTCCTGCTCTGTAAATGGCCATCCACCACCTCCAGGAATGTGCTAGTGGTTTGCCTGAATTTTCCCCAAATGCCATCCCCGCCCCTGGATAAATACAGGCTGGGTGGGACCGCAGCCGGAGAGATGCTCCACCCTGCCTCCAGACTATTTTCCACCTCCCTTTCTCCCCAATTAGCTCTTTTTTTCCCCCTTTGAAATTCTGTTTGGACACCAGCCTGGCCTATCAGCCTGTCTCTCTGCACGTCACTCTTCACACGGTGCATACTGTGTTCGTTAAAACGCCCAGAAGCTGAGGACTAAGGGTTAGGGTCGTGGATGTGGCCCGTGCCTGGACTTTCAGGAGGAAGATCCCACAGCGAGCCTTTCTCATAATGACATGGTTATGAATCGCAAGGTGAGCCTGTGATGAACACAGCACATCCTCTCTCCATTGGCTTTTACTCTACTGTTTCTAATGAGGAAACAAATTATGGAGCCACCGTAATTTTTTTTTTTTTTAGGACACAGCAGTAGTTTTAGCAGCAATGACTGTTAGTCATGGGATACCACTCAAATTGGCCCTGAGCCCCAATGTGAGGCCAGCGATGCCCAACGTAGCAGCGGATGCCACTCTAAAATCCAAGCAACTACAGGCAAACTGCTAAACACAAGTGGGAAACGTCAATGCCATGCTTTCTTTAGCCCAGCATGCCCCAACATCACGATTCCAGCATGCGACAGGTACACAAATTATTAGCGTGACATTTAGTATTCTTCCTTAGCATTAAATATTTGAAATACACTGTGCCTCTCATGGCGCCTGTACACCGCAGTCCAAGAGTACAGCATTCATCAGCGGCTAGTGGCGCCTTTTCTTTGACAGACCAATTCTAGGAGGTTCCTAACTGTTTTTGCACTGTAAACCTTTGCGTGGGGGTGTGTGGGGTGGGGTGGGGTGGTCTGTGGCTGTGTTTGTGTGCATGCATGTGTGTGCACATGTAAGGAAGCCAGAGGTGTCCTCCTCCACGGCCTTCCACTTTATTTTCTGAGACAGGGTCTCTCACTGAACACGGAGTTCACTGGTTGAGCCTGCTGGCTGGCCAATGAACGCCAGGGATCTGCCCGTCTCTGGCCCTGGAGCATTGGAGAACCTGGCCGGAGGCAGGAACTGAAGCAGAGGCCGTGGAGGAACAGTTACTGGCCTGCTCAGCTTCCTTCCTCATGTAGCCCAGGCCCACCCACCCAAAGATACAGTGCCCACATTGGATGGCCCTCTCACACCCATCAGCAATTAATTAGATGCCCCCACAGACGCTCACAGGCCAGTGTGATGGAGGCGAGCTTCTCTCTTCCCAAGTATTGGGTTTGTGCCAGGTGGACAAAAACTTGCTAGCATTGTCACGGATTCTATGAACTCATTTATAGGAAGTATACAGACGAGGTGAGGGTACTGAGACACGGTGCTGACTGGCTGTTGCCAAGGCGACCAGGAAGGGTGTCGGGGGGGGGGTGTGTGGCTTATAGTCAGGGGGTTTCTTTCTGGAATGATAGAACTGTGTGAGAGCAGAGCAAGGTGGCGGTTGTGTGGCCTCGTGAACACACGAGCTGCTGACATGCCACTCTGACACGGACAAGTGTGTAACTTCACCTCACCAAGGTACTTATTTCTGGGGAAGGCTGGACCCCAGGCGCCTTCCGATTTGCATCCTGCCCAGGAGGTGCGGCTCCATCTCCACCTAGTGGCAAAAACACCTTGTGTCAGGCTCCAAGACAAAGATGCGTGCCTGCCACACCACAGAGGAGAACCAAGATCCAAAGCCAGGCCAAAGTCCACACCTCCAGCGGGATCTGTCCTGTGAGAGTCCAGATGTTGAATAACAGCAGCTGTTGGCTGCTCTGGCAGGAGAGCAAGGTGGCTTCTGGTGCTGGTCCTGGCGTGGACTCAGAACTCTCTGACACTTTCTGGGCTTGGTTTATCTGTCTGTACAATGGGAACAAGCTTCCCCATCACAGTATTACCATGAGGCTAATCAAGACAGCCCAAGAGACACAGCTGACACATGTGGATGTTTCCCTTTCCTTCTAGATGTTTAAGAACAATGGGATCTTACAAACCGCACCGAAGACGGGCTGTTCTTCCAAGAGGGATGCCCTTGCTCCAGACTGTCAGATGGGTGAGAAAGATGACGGGTGCAGGAGCCAAGGGGCAGGGGTTGGGGGTTATCATGGGAAGAAGCGGAGGACAGAAGCATCAGGCACAGGGCAGAACTCAGTCTTCTGTCTCCCCAGTGAACTGTACGCTCTTCACAAGAAAGCGAAACACTGGGCCCCCTCATTTCTGAATTACCACCATCTAGGGTAGAACACATGCTAGAGTCTAGAACATGCTAGTTGAGAAGTAATTTTGTTTTGTTTTGTTTTTCAAGACAGGGTTCTCTGTAGTTTTTGATACCTGTCCTGGATCTCACTCTGTAGATCAGGCTGGCCTCAAACTCACAGAGATCCGCCTGGCTCTGCCTCCTGAGTGCCGGGATTAAAGGCGTGCGCCACCACTGCCCGGCAAGTAAGTAATTATTAATATGCAATTATAAGGTGTAGTTTGCAGGTGAGCCCCAAAGTAGTGGCTACAGCAGCTTCTTTCTCAATACCCTAAATGCATAAATTATATTTGTTTTGGGGTGCATCATTCAAGTGAGTTTCCCATAGATCTACAGAAACAATAGAGCAGTGAGTTATTTCGTATAAACCAAGTGCTTAAAACACTGCCCAGCAGAAAGGGATACGTTATTATTAAAATGTTGACCCAACAGACGGAGATTTCCAAAGCTAATTTTGAAATCTAAACTTGCCTTAAACGCCCATATGCAACCCTTGGAAATGAGGAAGACGGGACTGTGAAGTTCCAGAATGTTCTCCTGACACTGGAAACGGGGAAGACCCAGCCTTACTGGAACAAACCATCTCAAACCATCCAGCTGGGCATTGAAAACATCCCCAACGGATGCTTTCCTTGTCAATTCTCAGCCAGCGAGTTAGTACACCTTCCTGCTGCAGGAAGGTCTGAAGCATTTTTGAGTTTCGTAGACGGAGAGTCTGAGGTCGTGGAACGTGGAGTCTCTGCACCATATGTGTACAGAGCCCGTGGAGGCCGGAAGACGGCATCAGATCCCCCAGAACCGGTTGTGAGCTGCTGTGTGAACACTGCCAGGGGAAAACTGGGTCCTCTGGAAGAGCAGCCAGTTATCTGAGCCATCTCCCCAGCCCCTGGGTGGTTCCTAGTCTTCACCTACAAGTCTGCGGTGTCCTCTGTGGAATCCAGCAGGATGGTGGACAACCAGGGCCATTCTGGAATGGCACCAGCCACGCCCAACCCCTTTGCACACTCTGTTCCTACCCAGGTGGCCCTATCGCCCCTGGCACACAGAAATCCTGGGAAAAGAGTGAACTGTTTTCAGTGTAACTAGGAAAAAACAAACAGCAGCACCACCAACAACAAAAATAACTGTCATTTCTGAGGACGGGCAATGCCCAGGCATGCCCGAGGCAACCTAAAACACCGAAACAAGCCTGGAGGTTCCCAGGAGGGGAACCCACTTCTTGCTTTATCCCATGACCCACTACCTAGGGAGAGCTCCCGAGTGAAGAAATGCAGGTGTGGGGAAATCTGCAAGGGCATGAGCTCTTTCCATCCACGCGGGCCCGTATCCACAACCTGCGCTTGCCTTGGGGGATGCGAAGAACAGCACCTGTGGGATGTCTCAGAACAGGCTGTTTGGGTAGATTGAGAGGAGGGCCTAGCAGGACGGTCCCAAGCTCTTCCATTAAAACATCTGCCTAAACTCCTCTTTGGATTTCATAAAATAAGCCTGTATCCACAAGCACCAATGTGTACACATATGCGCGC